TCACTTCTTTTTGCTGAGGCCTGGATTGCGTGGACGCACTCGACTTCTCTGACAAACGAATCCACCTCCCCACGTATTGGTTTTGTGTTGCAACTGAATATGGTTACGTAGCCGACATGTAAGTGCGAATGCAGATATGGTGTGGTTTAAATGAAAAGGGAGCATCTGGTGAGCAAGACAACCTTTAAGGAAATGTCTTAGTAATGGCACGACGACATTTAAATGAATCGGGTTCAAAAATGAAGGAGCCTACGATGCAGCTGACATAAAGATATATGCATAGAGTTTTCTGAAGCTCTGGCAGACGCAGTAGATCTGGAGTTCCTCAAACGACGATTAGCGGTCTGCACAGAACTTTCTAAATCTCTGGCAGACGCAGTAGCGCTGGCATTTCTTAAACGACGAATAGCGGTTTGTTGAGGTTGTTCCGAAATCCTGGAAGATGCTGTAGCCCTAGCATTCCTTAGACTACGCAAAGTGGTTTGTTCTGTGCGTTCTAAATCTCTAGAACATGCTGTGGCGCTGGCATTCCTTAAACGCCGAAGGATTGTCTGTGTTGGGGACTCGGAAGCCCTGACCATAGAAACGCGTATTGCGTCCTGTGAATTCTGTACTAAACGCTCTTTAGTTGACGTGACATAACTGATGCTACTCATGCCAGCCTTTCAGTCCGTTCAGCGGTACTTTCCGTGGAGATGCGGGCAGCAGAGCGTGAGGCCATCTGAGAAAGGCGCAACGAAGTTTGCTCTGTGGTTTCAATTGCATTTGCTGCTCTTGTAGCAGAGGCAGCAGCCGTGCACCGCCCGAAAAGTTTTCTTCTCTTAGGCGGAATTTTAACCAATTTTAAATAGGCAAACGTAATAAAAGTTATGTAGATTTTTTGAGTGCAAAAAATACGTGTAGTCTAAAAGTAGGCAGCTTAAAGGGATCCCAAAAATGTATGTAACTGTATTAAAAAGGGATCGAAAATAAAAATGTGAAGTTTAAAAAATTCAACTAAAGCTAAAACGGCAGTAAGTAATTTGGGAAGTAAATTCGATAAACGCAGAAACGGATGTAGTTATAACCAAGAAGTAAAAAAAAACAAAAACGGTTTGGATACGTAATCAACAACTTGCGGTTTCCGTAAGAAGCGAATGAAGTGAGCCAAGTGTGGGACAATAATCGCAGAAGTGTGAATACGCGTGCGAGTTATGGTATAAAGAGGCGGTTGGCCGGTTGACCTTGAGCGCACATACTAAGGGGGCGTACGTCCGCACATGCACACGCGTGCGTAAGAGAACTGCTCGTGTGCATGATTGGATGGGACTAAGGTTAAACGCTTGCAATCGTGTCAATGAGCTCGCAGCAATCTTGAAAAGTTGACGCGATTGTTTAACCTCCAGCTGGGTTAGTCAAAGCAGTGCATGGTGACGGATGACGTTTCAGAATAGTATCTGGCGACTTTATTGCATCGGGTTTTTTATTGATAAATATGAAAGCATTGCCCTTTTGATTTACCTCGTCACCAATGTAGCGCAATCTCCCAAAGTCAGCCAATTAGAAAATGGGATTTTCAAGCTTCATTTTTCTTTGAGGTAGTTTTATTGATTAAAAGTTGAAAATACAAGCGGTTTTACACTTCTTACGAACAAAATTTGAAGCAATGTTAATTTCATTTACTGATGGATAATGAAGGCATTTAAGTAGCACGAATTTAGATGAAAACATTCGAGTACTTTTTTGGGCAGTGATGCGCAGTAGTAAAATTAATGCGATTCGGTGCCTTTTGATACGCATAAGCGACCTGTAAATACATAACAGTCCCCCGGTGTCCCCTCGAATGAAAAAATGCATTCAAATGTGAAAAAATGGAAAATTGGTGATGGGCCGATTCTGTCCACTTGACTTAAAAGTGATGGCGTGAAGTGGCATGAAATGTGCTAGTGATTGCTCACTGAATTCAATCCTCTGCTTTAGTAGGCTAAACGGGCTACAGACACCTAAAAAGCAGCAGTTTCACCTTGTTTTTACTGATTTTTCTGGTAAAATTCAACATGTAGCTCTGTAAATCCCTTTTAAAATGGCCTTGACGTTTACTTTACTGTGCAAATGCAGAGAACATGGAAAATAACGCATGCCTTCATTGAAACCTTAAAATATCCTTTTAAAAAATCATGGTACGAGTGTTAAATCCCGAAATAAAAGTAGGCTACCTGAAACTTCTACCCCATTTGGGATGCTTGATGCGCGCACGCGTGACACCCCACCCCCCGTTCACACATGATCTTGCATGACCCCGGAGCGTGAAAAGGCCAATCTGCAGCAAGCATTTCGCATCGTGCGAGCCACGCGTGACCAATAACACTAATCCGATTGGCTTATGGAGCGTAAAGTTCGGCTGCAACAGAAATCCTTCATTGTGATAACTTTTGCATCCGAAACCAAAGTATGGCCACTCTTGTCCTTTCTTATTCCCATATAAGAACTTAAATCCGACTTTTTCTAATTATGCTACTACCTCTGACATGAAAAAGTTCCCATAACTTCTTGAGTGCAGTGAACGCACATAATTACGCACGCGTGTGTCCGATCAAAAATGAAAAATCGATAATATTGATTTAAATATTGACTTAGATCAATTATGGCGCCGTCAAAACCACCGCAGGACAATTAGCAGTAACTTTGTCAAATTTGGTCGAAATGGGTTGAAAAATGTAGGAGATGCGATCAAACATATAAACGAACAAACACACACACATTCTGCCTTTTATCCCATCTCTATCATCTATCTATCTATCTATCTATCTATCTATCTATCTATCTATCCCAACCTGTACATATCTATCTCTCCCATTCTTTTCTTTTCATTTCTATCTATCTATCTATCTATCTATCTATCTATCTATCTATTCCAACCTGTACATATTTATATCTCCCTTCTGTTCATTTCTATCTATCTATCTATCTATCTATCTATCTATCTCAGTTTCCAACAACATGAATCTAAACATAAGTATAAAACTTTACACGGCAAAACTAACAACCAATTGAAAGACAAATGCACTTTGGCAATAATTCCTACGAACTGATATTTCACTTGAGGTAGTAGACTACATCATTTGTCATTTTAAAGCAAATTTTACTTGACATTTTCTTTTTGGACTAATAGCTACAATATTAATATAATTTGTTAACTTGTATTTCATGCTAGCTAAATATAAATGTCTATTCATTGAATGAATTCTCAATAAAAAATGTCTCCACCAATTCTCGAGTGCAAATATCAAGGATGTCGATGAATAATTTGTTTCTTTTTTATTCAACATCTAATAATCAGCCTCTGTCTTTTAAGAAAAGGAATGAATTAGAAATTTTAGTTTCCGGTCGTTCTTGCACAATAATTCTCTCTTGGTTCATGAGAATATATACAATTACACTTTTGCATGTTACTATTTATAAAAAAAATCTGTAATTAAAGAAACGAGAATTTTATTTTCTCTGTAATTAACTAATTTATATTTTAATAAGCAATTATTTCATCGATTTCAAAATTCAGATTTTGTATTGTCCAAAAATTAAATTTTCTTTTATTTACTGAAGAAACAAATTTTATGATGAGTAGGATGTCGAGTGGTAAATTATCGAACATAATTTGTTTAACTCGTAGATTGCTGTTTTCTGTTTCTTTAATCTCTTAATATTAATTCTTTATTTGTTTTTAGATACATAGGCTGTAGTTTTGTTCAGGTGGAGACAGGAGAAATATAGTGATACGGTGGGCGCTGAGTGCTGTTGAGATAACAACGGATTGCCGAACTGCAAAGAAAATCAATCCTTCGTCAACTAATATTATACTTTTTGGAGTTAAAACAGTATCTTAACATAGCTGTTTCATTGGGGTTTATTAAAGGTCTTTTTTTGAATTAATATTCACTATTCAAACACAGTCATGATTCATTTGTTATTCCACATTAAATGATGGCTTTATGAGCATATTCGGTACGATACATGAAGTTGCTATTTAGTAGAGTATACGATTATGTTATTTAGTAGAATTTATGGGGATGTAATTCAGTAGGATTTATGAGGATGCTATTCACTATGATTTATTAGGATGCCATTTAATATGATTTATGAGGATGCAATTTCGTAGGACTTATAATGATGTTATTTAGTTGAATTTATGAGGATGCTATTTAATGTGATTTAAGATGATGCTATTCAATAGGATTTATGAGGGTGATATTTAGTAGGATTTATGAGAATGCTATTCCGTAGGATTTATGAGGGTGATATTTTGTAGGATTTATGAGGACGCTATTTAGTAGGATTTATGAGGATGCTATTTAGTAGGATTTATGGTGATGTTATTTAGTAAGATCCATCAGTATACTATTTACTAGGATTCATCAGGATGTGACACTATTATAAAGGCTCTAATAAATTAAAAAAATACATTCCGATAGACTGAAGATATACCGATGGCCATATAATGAAAGAAAGCGATATTTGTTTTTAATTGTGAAAAAAATAATAATAAAATACTAAAAAATACTAAATTCCGATAGACCGAAGACATACCGATGACCGAATGAAGGAAAATGGGAGAAAAGGATATTTTTATTCGAAAAAAAATCTAGAAGAAGGTAATTAAATTCCTAGACGAGATGTAAAACAGATACCATCTAGTTTCGGTTAGAACTGAGACAACGTGACGAGCTTTTTTGTATTTCCAGGGACCTCCCAGAAAGAAAAAGATAAGATTTTGTTACATTGGGGAAGATGGACCTCTGACCGAGCCTTAAGCCGATTGAGAAGGATTAACATTTGCAAGCAGAATAGATAAGATAATTAAATTTTTCGTTTGCCGAAACGCGATAAAACTTCACAAAATCAATGGATTCTTCGATTTTTGCTACTTGCTGACCAAAGGTTTGACGATGGGATAAAGATGATAAATTCCAGATGCGAAAACGACAACACGATAATTAAAATTTTGCTGTTGGGCTAGACCACGCCTAGCGCTTAGGGGACGGGTTTGGTGACCAAGGAGAAGAGAGCCCAGGGGGAAATTCAGGCAAGACAGAGGAATTTTGCCGTTGGGCTAGACCACGCCTAGCGCTTAGGGGACGGGTTTGGTGACCAAGGAGAAGAGAGCCCAGGGGGAAATTCAGGCAAGACAGAGGACTTGCCACGCTTCTCGTGCAGTGATGGTGAGAGGCACTCACACAAAGCAGGAAGGAGACAGTTTGATCAAAAGGCGGAGTAGGTCCACGTAGAATTCCAAGGAGGAAGGAGGGACCCCCCATATTTAAACATTTGTAGGAAGAACTTTGACTGGTTGTTTGGAGATCGTGGGCACTCCCAAGCATCTCATGCTCCACCACAGACCTTGCGCAGGGGGTTGGCATAAAAAAGAACGCCGAAACACTACGGCAGAGAGACTGAGACGGCGGAGACACCGCTGACAGTCTACGGTAGAGAGACTGTACAGAGAGCAGATTAGCACCGCTTCGCCTAATCTCATGTGACCCATGGAGCGAAACAAGACTTGGGCCGAAGCGTTCAACTCTACGATTATCTGAGGGGAGCAGCTGGGGTAGGCGTCATATTTAGTTGGCGTGAGCAGGATTGGCACTGAAGATTTCATATTTAGTTGGGTTGACCCGGATTGACTCTGTAGACGTTATCATTAGTGCAGTTACACCAGGAAAGGTCCAGAATTGACCACGACCAGTCCAAAATAATCAATATAGTGAAATAGAAACAATAGATTTTTGTTTAATTTTTTTGACCGTATGGTTCTATGTATTTTTTTGACCGTATGGTTCTATGTTTTTTTTGACCGTATGGTTCTATGTATTTTTTTGACCGTATGGTTCTATGTATTTTTTTGACCGTATGGTTCTATGTATTTTTTTGACCGTATGGTTCTATGTATTTTTTTGACCGTATGGTTCTATGTATTTTTTATGGTTCTATGTATTTTTTTTGACCGTATGGTTCTATGTATTTTTTTTGACCGTATGGTTCTATAAACCGTATGGTTCTAACACCGTATGGTTCTATGTATTTTTTTGACCGTATGGTTCTATGTATTTTTTTGACCGTATGGTTCTATGTATTTTTTTGACCGTATGGTTCTATGTATTTTTTTGACCGTGGCCGCATATAAACGCAAAACAAGAAAAGGTAAGAAACATTTTCGGTGTTTCCTTTTCGTGAAGTTCGCCAGATTTGTTTTTAATTTTACCGATTTCATTAATTAGAATGTGTGATCAAGGGTCATAAATATACGAAAGGAATGAAAAAAGAGAACGGGATGACGGGATACCGGGGTACAACTAGCCTGAACTGTCCGAAAGGGAGACTCTCTACCTAGCGTACAATGCGGCAGAGTAAAAGTTCTCGGATATTATAGGGGGTCGGCTGATGGGGCCCCTCAGTTGACAGGGACAGACTTAGAGAATCTGTTTATCAACAAATTTGTGGACGAAGTCACTGCAATTGAGGCAATGAGAAGCCTCATGAAACTGACACAGATGAAGGTCGAGCCTCTTGGAGATTTAGGAGTGAGTGCCGAAAAACTGGCAGCTTTTGCTTTCCCACAAGAAATCAGGGACAACGTAGCCATACAGGCCCAGCTAGTCGATCTGTATGTGGAAGCGCCGCATAACGAATACATCAGGGCCCCAAAAAGGGCCACAGCCAAACTCTAAGCAGGTATTGCCTTAGCAAAGGATAGCCAGAGGATCTGGTAAAAGTTTAGGTGGAAGGGAGCAATAGAAAGATGAACCGGGAGGAGGTCGAACCGGACGTCTGGGAAGAGATTCCATATAGAAGTGCGTGGAGGGAGGGGCAATGATTTTACAAGCCCTTAACTGTCAGGATGGGTTTAGTATGATGGACTTGTCGTTACGAAGGTCATAGGGCAGTGGAATGTCCAACAAGTGGAGATTTCCTCCGGATTACGACAAGACGAGCTGCACCAGGTGTGGTCGTCGTGGATGTAAGGCGAGGTGGTGTGGATTAAAGAAGAACCACCAGATTTCTCCTTCCAAGAACCCGATCCTGGAAATTAGAACAGGGGAATATCAAGAGGCCGCCCCAGCACGCGAAGTAAGGTAGAGGGTGGCTCAGGTAAATAGAAAAGTAATGCGATGCTGGGCATGTAACCGGGTTGGCCTTTTTGCTGCCAACTGTCCTGGAAGAAGGTGCTGCTTCTTTAACGAACCAGGACGCCTGGAGGGAAATTGCCCCTAAAGGAAAAAGGATGCAATGTCGGACATGTGGTCAGGTCGGTCATTTTGCCGCGAACTGTTCCTATAGAAATAGGAAAGGCAAAACTGATGAGAGCTGCCTGGATGTACCACGGCGTAGAATAAAACAGCCATAGACCCCGCGCTAAAACGATAACGAGGAGTCAATGTTGTCGGAACCCATTTCTGAATGCGCTAGCGGAAATCATCTCATAGGGCGGGTAGCCAGGAAGTTTTCCTTGCTGACCCAAGAGAAGGAACTTTTACGGAGGTGTCGGCGTCCTTAATAGAAGAGAATCAGTGCAAATTCTTTAAGCTGCGGAGTTGGTCAAGAAGACCTGATACAGAAACTGATCAGATGGAAACTAATGAAGATAATGGGAATGGCAAGGCTCACGGTGAAGTTAGGAGGGATTCTATGTGGTTCAGGATTTCTGTGGGGAGATTACCCTGGGTGGAGAATGGTTATACCGACATGGGACACAAGTGGATTTCAGCCCCACAGTGTTTGTCAATAGCGTGGAGATGTCATTATGGAGGTCAGAGTCAGTAGTGGCTGAGAATGACATAAAGTTACCCCCAATGACAGCTGTATCAAGCAGAGGTGACAAAAAGAGGAGTAGAAAAAGGAGTTTTTCAACTGACCCCTGAAAATATAGCCCCGAAAAAGGCGAAGTAGCCTTGTGTGAGTACGTATTGGACGCCTCAGAAGTAGTACCTATTATGTTGGCTAATCAGGACAAGACAATTAAGAAAGAAGAAGATGCAGCAAATGCTCTACCATTAAGGTCTGTACAACGGGTGGAATTCAGTGAAGAAAGAAGTGGAGAACAGTGTCAAGTAAAAGAACAAAAGCGATATCCCCTGTAAGAAGGTCCTGGGCTTTGCCTCGCAACGTCCCAATAATGGAGAGGAGCAGAGTGACTGATAAAATGGGAAGGAAATACCTCTCTCTCAATTTCAAAAGAAGTTGAGAGAAATAAAACACGACGAGCAGATGAAAAAGAGACAGAATCAAGTAGTAGTGAAGGGAGAGAGAAGTAATGAATATCCCTGTGAAGGGATCCTTTACAGTGAGAGGAAGGGAGGAGAGGAATCCATTAGAGAGTGGTTTTACTGTCTGCTGCTCATAAAGAAAGAAAGAGACATGTTCAAAACAGAGAGATTATATCGTCAAGCGTCTTTGCTATTATTAATAGGAACGATCAAGATGTTTCTTTTTATGGAAAGTTAAATTGAAATTAGATTCTAGAAGCCGCCTGTTGAAGTAAAGAAAAAAAGAAGGGAAAATCAAAACTTCTTTCTAGGCATTTTAGAAAAAAGAAAAAGACAATATTATTTATTTTTTCCTTTCGTTGCTTGAACGAAGGTCTGGTGATCGTAAGAATTATTTTATTGTTTTATTAGCCTTGTATAGACTGTTGGTTAATTTTCCTATAGGTTCGAATTTAATGTTTACTGGTGAGATCAATTTTATACATGGATCTCCCTGTTGCTGGGTGTGAAAACGACGTGGTGTTAGTCTATAGCATCTCCAAACTGTGAGGCGTGTTTGAAATTGTTGTGGTACGATCCACCTAATTTACATAGTGGAGGACCGACCGATATAAATATGGGTTGGTACCGGAAGACGAGGGAGGAAGTAAGAAGAGATCTAATCGAGAGACTCTGCCCGACTGCGATTAAGTTAACCCATTCTACAGGAACAGTCTTCCCAAGAATATACCAAAACTAACTGTAAATATTGTGTACCTTTTTCCTTGTTTCAATACATTTTGTTTACGTACATTTTGTGTTGTATTATTATTATTCCATGCTTATCCAAGCTGCAACAGAAATACAAGAAAAGAAATATCAGTTTGATATTGTAGATTTAAAATGAGGAATAGTTTAGTAATAATTGCTTATTACTAATTAAGTGTGTGTTTGGCTCTGATTAATGAGCCATTAAATGTGACCGATTGTCGCGGAAACTATCACCAAGGACATTGAAGGGAAGATTGTCCGGAACCATATTGATAGTTAACGGTGCTAATTGAAACTTAAAAGTAGGGAGGATGAGATGAGTGTATTCGGTGAAGGTGCGTAACGACATCGATTTTATCCAGTAACTGACAGTAGAGAGTGGGATTGGCTTCGGGGGATGGAGCTGTTGATAGCGCGTTACAGAGGACGCAGGAAATTAATAGTTCGTCTGCACATGGGCCCGTGTGTATACTCGGAAGTGGTATTGATGACACGACATTGGGGACGAGAGCACTAACACTGCTATCTAAGTCCAATCAGCTTACTAACGGTTGGTTAAAAGAAAAAAAAAGGTTAATATTGGGAAACTAAGAGAAGGAAGTCGTGGGATTGATTCTGAATAATGGAGTATGAAAATGAACAAACAATAAGTGGTTAGACGAGTTAAAACAAGGAAATCTCGTTACCCTTGCAGTAATGGCTGGTATGAGAGGACGGATACAACTGACGATGATGATGCTGATTCTGATGAAGACAGGATCCTGAAAACACAGCCCAAATACGATTTTCAAGAAAACAAGCGAAGTAATTATGGTTGGTCGCCCTTTGATAGATTTGAACCCTTATGAGTTACTATTGAACAAATTTGAGAGTGAGACAAGAAAGCTGGGTATAGCCAGGGTGAGGATAGCATAAAAGTTTCCCAGGGAAGGGAGGCATCTTATACTGTTGTACTATCTTGAATTGGAAACAGCTATAATGGAAGCCCAGTGGAATGAGGAATTAACTGAAAGGAATCTAACTGTTACAGAACAGGAAAAGATGGTTGAAAAAGCGCTGAGTGTGCTGTTCAGAACAGTGACTGATCTCAAATTTATAAAGAAAGAAACTGGGTGTGGTAGAAATCAGAGGAGGCGAGAGAAATCATATTGATATTGGGTGTGACAAGGTTAGAATTAACGAAAAATAGATCAGGTTTGAATTGGTTAAGTGAAGTACGTGAAGTAAGAAGGGAGGTAACTGATAGTTCGGAAGCGGTGTCGACCTAATTACAAGAATTAAGTGGGTTTATGCAACAGTATCTTCAGATAAGGACCATTACTATTAAAGTGCGACAGACTAGTCAGCCCCTGATAATTTTCTTAGAGCAAGGGAGAACTCAATTGGATATGTTTTCATTAAGACATCAGTCCACAATTATAGTAACCCAAGTCACTTGAAAGAATTTTTATTAAAGATGCAGGTTGTGTTACCCCATTATTTAAGTTTTCCGTTGGACCCCACCAAGGAATTACAGAAATACTACAATGCACTAGTTGTTGGTCTTGATGTCTATTTCGCTGGTGGACAGAGAAATTATTTTTGAAATATATCATATAAATTTACCTGATCCCTACCCCCGAATAGGGCAGTGCCAACGAGCGGCTGTCAGATGCCAAATTGAGGCAGAGTATGTAGCTTTGAATTCAGCTAGGACAATATTTATGATGCGGACGAAAGTATAGGGTTAATGCTTTGGGAATTTCTACCTCACTAAGTCCTATCTATGGGACAGGTAATCAAAGATTGTGCGTACATAAACTAATTAAAGCAAAAAGAAAGGATTAGTCTGAATCAGTTAAAAGACAAGTTAAATGTTTTAGAAAAGAGAGTATAGTTTGGGAGGATAAGAAAAGGATCATAATAAACTGGTCGGCATTGATAGGCACTTTGATAATTATTGCTGCTATAGTGACGGCATCATGGAAACGAAAATGGTATACGTGGAAATTAGCTGATGATATACTAGCGAATTCGTGGCGGCTCGAGGAGGGAGTTCCGTGCAGTCTTCTTTATCCAGACAATTTGAACCAAGACGAAAAAGGAAACCAGGCTATAATTCCAAGGAGGGAGGAGGGACTCCACCATATTTAGACATAGGCAATGACAGCTTGGTTGTTTGGGGAACGCGAGAATTCCCAGATCACATCATGCCCCACCCCATCTCTTGCGCAGGGGTTCATTAAAACAGAACTCCAAGACATTACAGCAGACAGAGAGACTGCAGAGAGAGCGGAATACAACCGCTTCGCCTAATCTCATGTGACTTGCTGCTCTGAAGAAAAAAGCCTCCGACTTAAAGCCTTGTTCCAGAAGTCTCGTTCCAAAATCATAACAACAGTGTGTCACGATAATCGGGAAGGGTATATAGTTATTGTCTGGAAAGTATAGCCTGCTTAAGCGTAAGCCATCAATGATTGAAACATCAACTTTGTATCAAGGAAGTATATATAAATACTTTTTTCTTGTACTCTTTTACTCAGTTTAGTTTTTCTTTTTTCGTGTGACTTTACGAACCAAAACTCTGACTGGACCAAACGTGATAACGATAATATTTAGTATGATTTATGAGGATACTATTTTGTAGGATTCCTGGGGATACTACTTAGTATGATGTATCTGGGTACTATTTAGAAGGATTCATACAGAATTTGTTTGAAACAAAACCTAGAAGAACAAGCCTAAGACTGTTCAATTTATGCAGGCATAGCTGCAAAGAGAAATAGGAGAAAATGATAGCACGTTGGAATTTGAAAATCGATTTTGCATGTTGTTCTTCAAGAATTATCATAATATTTAAAAATATAAAATGTAGGAAGTCGACATTTTTATTTACCATTTTCTATTATACCTGAAACGATTTAAAAGATTTATAATTTTTGTATATAATTTAAATTCAAATGTCAAGGAAATATTTTAATAGAACAGAGTAAATATAATAATGAAATGCAATTGTTGATTGAAATAGCAGAAAATGCCTTCCAAAAGCTAAAAAAAATATGAAGAAAGAGGAACGCTTTATTAGACTATTGAACTGTTAAGTATTGTCAGTCATCTTATATAGCAATTAATGCTGGACGATCTCACAGATAAAGAACATACTTTAGTTTTTAGAAATATGGTTTTATAGAAGGATTCTGACAATCCCAAGAACTGTGTAACAAGAAAGTGTGTAGAGAAAATGGACACTTATACTTGAAATCAAAAAGAATCACTTGAAAATCTTAGGGCACATAATGAATACAGAAGTTTTGTACAATATGAGCCACACATGACATGAAAGTGAAAGAGAGAGGGAGATGAAACAACGAATAACCTACCTAGCTTGCTTCTGTAAATGGATGACAGAAAACGTAATAGGAGAGATCGCAAAAATACAAAACTTAATAAGAGCTTTTTTATCTGTTTGCCTTGCACTTTCTTGCAACTTTTCTTATTCTCATTAATGACCAAATATTTTTGTTCCTTCAAGAACGTAATTTGTCTTGAAAGTCTTATTAAAGTCATTAGTAGGATTTATTTAGTAATTTTAAATGTCTGTGTAGCAAGACTTCAAATATTATTTCTACGATTTTCTCAAGTAAAACTATTTCTACTCATAGATGTGTGTTTCTATAAATGGGAAATGAATAATTGCTCTATATTTTTTTATTTCTGTTACTAAACATTTTAAGAAAATTAAGTTTTTCATGCACATTTAGTGGCTAATTATTTAGTCATTTATTGTCCACTTTACCGTAATGTGACAGGATCTTTTAATACGATATTTCACTATATTTCTTGTCTCTGTGATTTCGTGCTTTTTCGTTTGAAAATCGATTGAATGAAACATAGCAACTGTTTTTCGTTTCTCTTCCGCCTCTTGTTTTGACTAGGAACAAGGTTTAAGGGTAACCTTATTGCAGAGAAATTTAGCAAATCAATACAAACCAAAACATCGACCATTCACAAAGGATATCCTTCTGCAGACGATCCGATAGAGGACGGGTTACATTCTTGTAAAAACGGTACAACAACGGGAAGAGCATGAAAGAAAAATATCGTCAATTGTTAAGCAACAACACGTGTAATAATCATTGATATATATATATATATATATATATATATATATATATATATATATATATATATATATATATAAATATACATACGTATGCAAAATATATAAATACCCATACATGTATATTTTTTAGAATAAAAATTCCAAGAGGAAGAATCCAGGTAGAACTCAATGTCCAGGACAGAGTAAGGATATAATAAAAAAGCCTTAAACACTAATATTCCATGGTCATAATTTATTCCATTGGAATCGTAAATACGATCCAATTCATTAGACAGAAAAAAAACACTCCGGAAATAAAAACAGAATTTAGAGAGAGTGTAAGTATGAGGGGGAGGTTGTAGGTCTGATGAATTGGATCGTATTTACGATTCCAATGGAATAAATTATGACCATGTAATATTAGTGTTTAAGACTTTTTATATATATATATATATATATATATATAGTCATAGCTATATATATTATAGTTATATATATATATATATATATATATATATATATATATATATATATATATATATATATATATATATATATATATTATATATATTATAGATAAATGTAACCGTCATTTCTACTCCGACGGTTTCTTTTCTCGCACTTCCTGCCTGCAGAACTCTCTTTCATTTACTTGCTTCCCTGAAAAATATAATCTTCAAAAAATTATATAAAGGTAATCTTCTGTCGTCTTGAACCCCGTTCGACTTTGATCCTTTCCCCAGTCCCCATATACTCAGATTTTTTTTTCTCTCGCTTTCACTCACTGTAATCCCCTGAATACCTGTGGCATTCACACCTTGCTTGGGGGGAAATGATTAAAAAAATAGGAATAAAAATATAAGCAGCAATTAAAAACCAGAAACAGAATTTAAAAACATCTAAACAGAAACGTCGTCATGACAAGAAAAATTTAGTTTCGCTCTATGTTACGACTATAATTCTTTCCAAACTCTGTAGCTCAAAAGTTTGGCCTTGTGCCAAACAAATTCATGCTCAATATAAGCCGCCTTTCTCTCGATGGATTATACACATACAAGCTACATATAGTTTGCAGACAATATTCGTCTTCTATAAAGGATGTTCATTGATGGAAGTAAATAAGCCTGCATGTACAATTTATTTATCATCTGATATGCTTTATTATCATATAACATTTAAGTGAGACTGAAATAATATATTTTACGTTGTTATCGGTTCATCATGTCTACTACAGGATGAATAGATACTACAAACAACGCAATAAAAACAAGGAAAAAACAAAGACTGGTTGAGTTCATAAATGTCAGTGCATTGAACGTGAATCGTGTTACATCCAAATAACAAATTATTTCATAGAATAATCTGAAAAGTGAAAAAAAAAACCCAAAAAACTGTAGACTTATATATGATATCATGAAATAAGCATCACTGATGAATATTATGCAGCGCAAAATTTTAAGACTTCCTATTTAGTAACGGTTTGTGAAAATGATTGGTCGAGAAAAAGAAAACTTAATTAACTTTAACTAATTTTATTCAACGAGGGAGAAACTTTGAAAGAGACATAATTAATAAAATCATATTACATTCCTAAATTTTGCATAGAATTTCTCAAAATGAAGTAAAAGATTTCAGATGCATAAAGCTGATAAGTATTACAGAAGTTTGAGTTTACAGATGCATGGACTAATATACACCCACGCACAATGCTACATATATATGGCAATGTATAAGAAATTAATGTAAATTATCCATGTGTATTTTGCCCATATTTACATTCATATACATATATATACACAACACACAAACATATATATATATATATATATATATATATATATATATATATATATTTATTTTTTTTATTCTATTCTATTATTATTATTATTAGTAGTAGTAGTAGTAGTAAATGAATATATATATATATATATATATATATATATATATATATATATATATATATATATATCGTTTTTTTTTCCTTTACATTTTGTTTACCTATCCTTCATCTTCCTTTCTCTCCATCAACTCATCCCTTTCTAAGTAAATATCCTTTTTTTGATCTCTCCCTTCCCCCAATTTAAACCCACCACCTTAAACTAATGTGCACATGAATTAAAAATTTAATAGTATATAATTCTTCTGTCTGGAAAAATGTGTTATCCTTTTATTTGTATCGGAATAGACGGTCTGATGAATAAGAATCGAAATTTTAGTTCTAAGGAAATAAATCGTAAACATTTAATTTAAAGTCGTCTTTTTCTTTATACACACACACACAAACACACACACACACACACACACACATATATATATATATATATATATATATATATATATATATATATCTTTGAAATGCCATATATCTGTTGAATTTTGATTTTATAACAATATGCATTCATTTTTTTTACGTCAGTTTCTTTTAATTATGCCAAGTAATATTCGGTTTAATTTTACAGCAATATATATATATATATATATATATATATATATATATATATATATATATATATATATTACATAGAATAGAAATGCAAATTTTCCTCATTCGAATAGCTATTTCAAACAAAAGTCCCACGTTGCCTTTGTTAACTTAGAAGTGTCTGAGGAGTCAATGCCAAGAGGGGACTTTTTCTTTGAAATAGCTATTCAAATGATGTAAATTTAAATTTCTATTATATTTGATTTATATGGTCTGTTTTAATAAATACATTGATCTCTTTTCGTGGATGAGTTTTAATATTTTATACTATTAGGATTCACATGGATTATTGCCTATATATATATATATATATATATATATATATATATATATATATATATATATATATATATATATATATATATAATATTCTAAAAGTGTCGAAATATAATAGATGACATTTCCTTGACCCTGAAAATAAAAGCTAGTAGATGTCATTCATCTGTCTTGCCAAACAAGTCTGGCACGTCATATTTCAAATGTTAGAGTCTCCCAACGTTTCAGGAAACCGTTATTTCCTTGGAGCATCTACCAACACACTGCTGGTCTCTATACAGATTGGTTTCAATTGATTGGTCATTGAATATCAAATGACAGTCGATTCTGGGTGCATATTAATTGAAAAAGAGAAGAAATGGAAGATGAATTTATCAAACACATGGCTAAAAAATAAATCACAATAGAAAACGATTTCATCTGCTAACCCGAACATATTAGTTTTTGTAATGGTTTATCCCT